AAAAACACAATAAGACATATTTTTTTTTTTTTTGGGACGGAGTTTCGCTCTTGTTACCCAGGCTGGAGTGCAACGGCGCGATCTCGGCTCACCGCAATCTCCGCCTCCTGGGTTCAGGCAATTCTCCTGCCTCAGCCTCCTGAGTAGTTGGGATTACAGGCACGCGCCACCGTGCCCAGCTAATTTTTTGTATTTTTAGTAGAGACGGGGTTTCACCATGTTGACCAGGATGGTCTCAATCTCTTAACCTCATGATCTACCCACCCGCCTTGGTCTCCCAAAGTGCTCGGATTACAGGCTTGAGCCACCGCGCCCGGCGACATATTTTTTATAAATGTAAGAACATCAGTGATAAAAGAAAGATACTGAAATATTCCAGAAACAAAAAACAAGTCACATAGTACTAAATGGGAATGAGAATGTCACTGGACTTCTCATTAACAACACTGGAATCTGTAACAGAAAATAATGCAGCAATGCCTTCAAAATCATAAAGGAAAATAATTGTCAATCTTTCTTTTCTTTTTTTAAATTAATTTTTGTTTTTAGGGATGGGGTCTTACTATGTTGCCTAGGTTGGCGTACAGTAGCTATTCACAGTGCAATCATTCTACACAGTATACATACATTACACAGTGTATTACAATCTCAAACTCCTGGGCTCCAGCAATCCTCTTGCCTCAGCCTCCCACCAATCTTGCTTTTTTTTTTTTTCCTCAGATGAAGTTTCACTCTTGTTGCCCAGGCTGGAGTGCAATGGCACAATGCTGGCTAATTGCAATCTCTGCCTCCTGGGTTCAAACGATCCTGCCTCAGCCTCACCCAAGTAGCTGGGATTACAGGCATGTGCCACCATGCCTAATTTTATAATTTTTAGTAGAGATGGGGTTTCACCATGTTGGTCAGGCTGGTCTGGAATTCCTGACCTAAGGTGATCCACCTGCCAAGACCTCCTAAAGTGCTGGGATTACAGGTATGAGCCACTGCACCTGGCCTCTCCCACCAATATTGAATTCTGTACACATACAACTATCAACCAATTCTGAGTCTAAAATAAAAGGACTTATGCAAAATCTTTAAAAAGGGACTTTAGGTGAGGTAAGGTTTCTATGGTAAAATGGCTATACAAAACATCTATACAAAAAAAAATCTTTACAAGGCTCTAAAAAATGTTCAAGTAACCCACAAGAAGGCCGGAAAAAGAAAACAAAATAAAAAAGAGTGAGAACAAACAGAAAACAAAAATAAAATGGCAGACTTAAACTCTAACATAACAATTACTAAATGTAAGTCATCTAAATTTACTAATTAAATAACAAGAGATTAGCACAGTAGATTGGGGGAAAAAAAACAAAAACCATTACCCAACTACATATTGACTATAAGAAATTCAACAGTCACTTGAAAAAGGATGGAAAAAGATATACTATGTAAACATTAATCAAAAGAAGGTAGGAGTAACTATACATAAACATCAGGTAGATTCAGAGCAAAGAAAATTACCAGAGACAGAGAGGAACATTTTATTTATTTTATTTTATTTTAATTTTTTTAGACGGAGTCTCACTTGGTTGCCCAGGCTGGAAGGCAGTGGTGAGATCTCAGCTCACCACACCTCTGCCTCCTGGGTTTAAGCAATTCTCCTGCCTCAGCCTCCCGAGTAGCTGGGACTACAGGCGTGCACCACCATGCCTGGCTAAATTTTGTATTTTTAGTAGAGACGGGGTTTCACTATGTTGGTCAGGCTTGTCTTGAACTCCTGACCTCGTGATCTGCCTGCCTTGGCTTCCCAAAGTGCAGGGATTAAAGGCGTGAGCCACTGCGCATGGCCTTATTTATTTATTTATTTTGAGATGCAGTCTTGCTCTGTCTTCCAGTGGTGTGATCTCGGCTTACTGCAACCTCTGCCCCCCCCAGCTCAAGCGCTTCTCCTGCCTCAGCCTCCCGAGTAGCTGGGATTACAGGTGTCTGCCATCACACCCGGCTAATTTTTGTTTTATTTATTTATTTTTATTTAATTTATTTTTTTGAGATGCAGTCTCACTCTGTTGCCAGGCTGGAGTGTGCTGGTGTGATCTTGACTCACTGTAACCTCCGCCTCCTACGTTCAAGCAATTCTCCTGTCTCAGCCTCCTGAGTATCCAGGACTATGAGCATGTGCCACCACGCCCAGCTAATTTTTGTATTTTTAGTTGAGACAGGGTTTCGCCATGTTGGTCAGGCTCGTCTCGAACTTCTGACCTCAGGTGATCCTGCTGCCTCAGCCTCCCAAAGTGCTGGGATTAGACATGTGAACCACCACACCTGGCCTTCTGTATTTTTAGTAGAGATGGTGTTTCACCATGTTGGCCAGGCTGGTCTTGAACTCTTGACCTTAGGTGATACAACTGCCTTGATCTCCCAAAGTGCTAGGATTACAGTTTGAGCCACTGGGCCTGGCCAGAGAGGAACACTTCATAATGATTAAAGAGTCAATTCATCAAGAAGACAGAGAGCAATCCTAAACATGTAAGCATCAAACAGCAGAGCTTCAAAATTTGTGGAGAAAGGCTGATAGACTTGAAAGAAATAGACAAATCTACAATTACACATGGACACTTCAACATCCTCTGTCAACAACGGTTATAACAACTAGACAGGAAATCATCAAGAATATAAAATAACAACATCAACCAACAAGATATAACTGACATTTACAGAATGCTCCATCCTTTAATAGCAGAATACAGCAGGTCCTTGAATAACATTTTGCTCAACATCATTTTGTTATAACAATGAAAAATGATGGATGCCCTGCTGGGGCCACTGTATGAAATGTGTACATTCTCCCATGTCTGCATGAGCTCTCTCTGGGAACTCTGGTTTCTTCTCAGACTCCAAAGATGTGTACACTAGCTTAATCGTGATATCTTAATATCTAAATTGTGACAGTATAAATGTGGGTGTGTGAGTGTGTCCTATGATGAAATGGTGTCCTGTCTGGGGTTGGGTCTTGCCTTTCGTCCTGAGCTGCTGAGGTAGGCTCTAGCCACTTATGACTCTTGACAGGAATAACTGGATAAATAATAATCTTCCTTATTTTTATTAATCTTTCTCTTATCTATTTCAATGTTTAACATTATAAGTGTTTTGTCTCTATTTAGAAGTTTGGTTACGTTTTTGTGAACAGACATATGACATACGAACTTAAACTCTTGTTTATATCAGTTAGCCTATGGTAAAATTGGTTTCATTATGACATTTTGCTTAAAGTCAGTTTCCAAGAACCTACTGACAAGGTTAAATATGAGGATTTACTGTTTACATTCTTTACAAGTGGCCACAGAATGTTCACATATTCTGGAGTACAAAATAACTGCAACAAATTGAAAAGAACTGAATTCATAGTGTGTAGAACTGGAAAACAGTAAAGGCTGAGAGGAGTAAGTGTAACTAACTATAAAGGGGTAACAGGAGGGTGATCTTTAACAGTTTAGTATCTTGATTTTCGTGATGGTTATATAATCTATGTGTATGAAACAATTATATACATATATATACATTGTTTCAATGTCAATTCCTCAGTTTTGATACTGTAGTATATAAAATTGTAACCATTAGGGAAACTGAATAAAAGATATGTGGGACTTCTCTGTAGAATTTTTGCAACTTTCTGGGAATCTATTATTATTTAAAAATAAAAAGTTTAAAATTTACTTCTTTTGGCCAGGCTCAGTGGCTCATGGCTATAATCCTTGCACTTTGGGAGGTCGAGGTGGGCAGATCACTTGAGGTCAGGATATTGAGACCGGCCTGGCCAACATTGTGAAACTCCATCTCTACTAAAAATACAAAAATTAGCCAGGCATGGTGGGGGACACCTGTAACTCCAGCTACTTGGGAGGCTGAGACCTGAGAATCGCTGGAACCCAGGAGACAGAGGTGGTAGTGAGCTCAGATCGCCCACTGTACTCCAGCCTGGGTGATAGAGCAAGAGTCAATTCTCAAAAAAGTAAAAAATTACTTCTTTCTCTGGAAGCCATGGGAGTGCATGTACCATCAAGATGTTAATGTAAACCATGAAAGAGAAAGACACAGAATCCAGGAAAAAGAGAAGCCAACACAGAAAAGATATGAAAAAAATTTCCAGGTGAAAACAAAGAGAAATTCTATTACCATACTTATGCAGCATCCATAAGACATCAACCTGTTGTTCCTATTGGGATAGAAGGTTAGAAGACTCCAAGAGTGACTACAGAGGAAAAGAATGAAGGAGGAAACAAACATGATAGGTTTGAATTTGAAGAAAAATTTTTTTACATGGCTTATTGGAGAGAGTGGTCTGACTTGGTCAAATAAAGAAAAATAAACAATTAAAAAAAAAAACAAAAAACAATCTGGCACAGTGGCTCACGCTTGTAATTCCAGCACTTTGGGAGGCTGAGGTGAATAGATCACCTGAGGTTGGAAGTTCGAAACCAGCCTGGAAACAGGGCAAACCCTGTCTCTACTAAAAATACAAAAATTAGCCGGGCATGGTGGCATGTGCCTGTAATCCCAGCTGCTCAGGAGGCCGAAGCAGGAGAATTGCTTTAACTCGGAATGCAGAGGCTGGGGTGAGCCGAGATCACACCATTGCACTCTAGCCTGGCAACAAGCGTGAAACTGTCTCAAAACAAAACAAAACAAAATAAAAAAAAACAAACAACAAAAAAACTCCCATTTTATAATCCCAAATCCTTTAAAGGTATGGACAAATGTCTTAATTATCAGTTGCTTTAGCACGTGCAGGAGGGATTCATTGTCCGTAGCTTGGAATGAAGGACAAAAAAAAACAAAAAAAGGACATTGATGTGTACCAAAGATGAACTTCATGTTATTTCACATTTCTGCCTAGATGTGATTAGCTTTATGTGCTAAGTCAACTAAATGTCATCCTGGTCAAGTTTGCCAGACTGCTGAACCCCGCAATGCCTTATAGTGCCTCTCAAAACACTGCTTCCATGCTATGACTTTTGCGCCTTGCCAGTATCTTGGAGAGTGGATTTACTTACTGACATGTCCATTCCATGAAGTCTTCGTGTTTCCTGAACCATTATAGTCTCTAACATTTTATAATACAAAATTTCTGCCAGCTTTAGTCTGTTTACAGCAAAGTCTATGGGGGAAATACAGACGAAACATGTGTTAATGAATTTTACTTGTTAAGGACTGCAAAGTAAAAATTATATATACACTTAAATCTGATACATTAAGAATAGCAGGACATGGCTGGGTCCGGGTGTGGTGGCTCACCCCTGTAATCCCAGCACTTTGGGAGGCCAAGCTGGGCAGATCACGAGGTCAGGAGATCGAGACCATCCTGGCCAACATGGTGAACCGAAATCATACCACTGCACACCAGTCTGGGCGACAGTGCAAGACCCCCATCTCAAAAAA